AAAACATTATGTACTCATTAAGTATTCACCCCCCACTCTCCCCTCCTCTGGCAACCACTGATCTGCTTTATGACTCTATGAAGTTGCCTGTTCTAAATCTTTCATATAAAAGGAATCATATAATATGTGACCTTTTGAACCTGGCCTCTTTCACTTAACATGATGTTTTTGAGATTCGTCCCAGTTGTAGCATGTGTCAGTACCTTGTTCGTTTTTACAGTTGAATAATATTCCATCATATCAGGCAGATAGGTTTCTTTTTTTTAAAAAAAACAAGCATTTTCTTGTGAAGTCATGCCATCCTATCTAATTTGTTTTGCCCCAGGTCATGTAGGGAAGTAGCAGTGGAGCTGGCCTTCTGGCTCCTAGATCTTCACTTTTCCTTCTAGAACACATTCCTTTTTCTAAACCAGAAATGATGATCGTTCTGATTGGTTTTCCAAAAATTTACTAATTTTCCATTGGCTCACTTTATGAAATAAGAACGCAAGGGGTACATACAAGATCTACATGAGGAAAAAGACAAAACTCCGATGAACAAAATGAAAGAAGTATAGGCTGAAGTAGAGACAGAAATATCCCATGTTCATGGATAGGGCCTTCTTGTCTTGTCTGGGCTCATTCATGGATCTGAAGTCAGCTCTTCTAACCCTGACGGGGCTCTTCCACATGTTTAGGGGTTGCCTGGTGGTAGGCTGGGCTATGAAGGCCTTGGGCAAGACAGTTGAGTTCTCTTCACTTGTCTCTTACTTTATACAACACCCCCCACACCCCCCCAAGTAGGCTAGCCGAGGCATGTTCTTGGATTAGCTCAAGCATAGTCTCAGAGGGATTTCAGAGGAGCAAGAGAGCAAGGAAATGCACAAGCACTTTTCTGAGCCTCTGCTTCTCTCAAAGTGACCAACATCTCAATGGCCAAGGCAAGTCCCACGGCCAAGCTCTGATTGAAGGGTTGGGAAAATATGTTCCACTCCTTTACAAGAACTGCAGTGTCAAAGCACAGGGATCAAGGAGAGGTCAAGAAAAGGGGCCATCAGTACAATCAATCTAACACATGCATCATCTGTAAGTAGAGATAGTTTTACCTATTTCTTTCCAATTTTGATTTCTCTAATTTCATTCTCTTGCCTGATTGCATTGGTGAACTCCCCCAGCACAGTGTTTAACAGCAACCTCTATGGTGGTTGTTTTCAAAGAGCCAACTTTTGGGATTTACTAGTTATAGTTTTTCTATTTTCAGATTCCTTTTCTGCTTTTCTTTTAATTATTCTTGTCTCTTTTTCTTTAGTTTAATTTTTTTCCCCTGATTTCTGTGGTCAGCTGCTATAGCAATTGCTGCTACCCTACCCTGATCCCTTTACCTGGCCTATACACTCATCTCTTAGCTGCTGTCAATATTGACTGGTATCAAGTCACTGCTGAACCTCCTTGGATTTGTCCTTGACCAATGGGAGTTACTTTCCCAGGGGATGTCTGAGGTTATGCTCTCTCCCTGGGCATGCCCGTGGCTACTGACCGACTGGCAGAGTGGGACAAGTCCGTGGTGCGACTTGTACCCCAGAGCTCCCCTGCTGGATCAGGCTGAGACTGGATTTCAGCTGAGCCCACATCTTTGCAAGCTCCCTGGCTGCCTATGTGATGGGAACTGATGCCGGGAGTCCTGCTGTGCATCCACACTGCCAGTTGCCAACTGCCTGCTTCCGTGCCTGCACACCCAAAGACGGTCTGTCATTCACCCAGCACCTCC